GGGGGGGAGGCAGCTTCAAGATCAACACGACTACTGGAAAATGGATTGACATGACCTTGTGACATATATTTCCCTAGACTCAAACTTCAATAACCCAGTCAAAGAGGATACAAATTACTTAAGGAACTTGTACTATTGAAAATATAAACTTGTGTCTAGTTAAAAATTAATCAAAACATGCATCATCCATTGGTCTTACAGAGACCGAAAACTTGATAGATATAACTGAAGGCCAATCTGTGATAGCTCAGACATCACAAATAATGTGAGGAACTAAACTGAAGTAAGTTATGAGCAATAAAAAAATTTTTTTTTAAACTCAAGCTTTCTGAACATGCAACCATGTGGTGAAGTCATGGTACAGAGGTATGAGCGAGTCAGAGGGATCATTTGTAGATGGGGAGGAGAAAGAATTATTGGAAGTCTTTCCATGAAAAGAAGGAAGAATGACGACAACAGAAAACAAGTTACACTCAATACAAGGAGTTACTACCCAAAAAAAAATTGTCTTATCCAGACTAAAAACAGAGTCTTATCCAGCAAAAGGACAGGACAGCCAGTGAGAAATTAACAGACCATCATCAGAGATACCAAAGTGACTGTCACAAACATTTCACCAGTTTGCCTGTGGCAAGAAAATTTCATAATCATATAATCATTTAGGTTAGGTAAGACCCTTAAGATCATCAAGTCCAACTGTTAACCCAGCACTGCCAAGTCCACCACTAAACCATGTCACTGAGCACCACATCTTTTGAACACCTCCAGGGATGGTGACTCCACGACTTCCCTGGGCAGCCTGTTCCAATGTTTGACCATTCTTTCAGTAAAGAAATTTTTCCTAATGTCCAATCCAAAACTCCCTTGGTGCAACTTGAGGCCACCTCCTCTTGTCCTGTTGCTAGTCACTTGGGAGAAGAGATCGACCTCCACCCCACTACCACCTCTTCTCAGGTAGTTGTAGGGAGCAGTAAGGTTTCCTCTCTGCCTCCTCTTCTCCAGACTAAACAACCCCAGTTCCCTCCGCTGCTCCTCATCAGACCTGTTCTCCAGTCCCTTCACCAGCTTCGTTGCCCTTTGCTGGACACACTCCAGCACCTCAATGTCTTTCTTGGAGTGAGTGGCCCAAAACTGGACACACCTCCCTACTCCTGCTGGCCACGCTATTTCAGATATAAGCCAGGATGCTGTTGGCCTTCTTGGCCACCCGGGCACACTGCTGGCTCATGTTCAGCCGGCTGTTAACCAGCACCTCCAGGTCCTTTTCCACCAGGCAGCTTTCCAGCTACTCATGCCCAAGCCTGTAGCGCTGCATGGGGCTGTTGTGACCCAAGTGCAGGACCCAGCACTTGGCCTTGTTGAACCTCATACAACTGGCCTCAGCTCATCGATCCAGCCTGTCCAGGTCCCTCTGCAGAGCCTTCCTACCCTCAAGCAGATCAACACTCCTTGCCCAACTTTGTCATCTACAAACTGACTACGGGTGCACTCAATCCCCTCATCCAGTACACTGATAAAGCTATTAAACAGAACTGGCCCCAGTACTGAGCCCAGGGGACACCACTTGTGACCAGCTGCCAGCTGGATTTAACTCCATTCACCACAAGTCTCTGTGCTCGGCCATCCAGCCAGGTTTTTTTACACAGCAAAGAGTATACCTGTCCAAGCCATGAGTAGCCAGTTTCTCCAGAAGAATGCTGTGGGAAACAGCGTCAGAGGCTTTACTAAAGTATAGGTAGACATATCCACAGCTTTTCCCTCTCTAAGGCTGTTTAAATGCTCGCGGATGTCACAGCTGCTATGAAGGCCATGCCAAAGGCAATGGGCAATGAAAGGGTCCCTTTTTCCTTTCTCTTCTGTTTTTGGCACTACTGTCCCAGAGGTAGACTTCTATGACAGAGCTTCCAGCAATCAAAGATTTTTGAGTAGTCCACAATTAAATTTTAAAACTAAACATTGTAATAGGCTCAGGAGGAAATCCACCTAAACTACACATATATGAAAAGGGTATGTATAAGTGAAATATGTAGATTTCTTGATAAATGTTTGCTTTTTTTCTTTCAGTCAGGAAACTGATTAACCTAAGTACTGTTTGAACAAAAGAGCACTATTTTAAGCATATTTAAATAGTAATATCTATCTCCCAACTATTCCTTTGCTTTATCTGAAACACTGCAGTTCAGATAAACACACACCACTGTCTGGCTCTCCCTAGCAACTGGCTGCACAGAATATATTGGCACCTCAAATATTAGCCCAAATGATCTTTTAAATAAACTTTGAATGAAATAACTTCATGGTAAGCTTCAACTCTCTTAAGCAAGGTCCGCAGCCAAGCTTTGCCAAAATATTCTGCAAAAGCAAAATGCATAATGAAAAAATCCACTGATAAATCTGAAGAATACGTTTACAGACCAAATGTAAACTAGTCAGAAGCTCCTACAGCTAATTGCCAAAAGCTGGGGTGGATTCCCCCCCCTCCCCCGGTCAGCATTTGCTACCCTTGGATCTAGACTCTTGGCTAGGCAGAGCTTCTAGCACAGTAATTTTAATGTTCTTGTCTTCTGTTCTCTAGCATATCATTCACAGAATGAAGAAAAATATTTTGTCAATTTGATAACAAAATACTGCTCCATCAACTGCCCTTTCTCCTAGTTTGTCCTACAGCTATCCAAGCCAGAAATCATTGACAAATACGTAAATTCAAACCTCCTGAGTAAACGGTTAAATAAAATGCTGCAACAAGTTATCCAGCTAAACTTAATTTTTATATTCACTATGATTATTCCACCTCTTTAAGAATTCGTGAATTAAATAAAATTTGAGTTTGAACAGTCACATATGCCCCTCTTTAAAAACAATAAACATTTTAAAAGCATCACAGAATACATAGAATTATTAATAGCATGTATAAATCTAGGTACAAAACCCCCCAATATATTTTAATTTCATAGAAGCCTCAATTATGTCAGTATTTTTGATGTGAGTGGAAAGTGCTGAGGAACTCTATTAAATGTGGTTTTGAGTCCAGAACTCTGGAGTTCTCTACATCCATCTTAATCTCTAAATCCACCTTCATTCCCCTCTACTAAAATATTTTTCTCTATCAGAAAAACACCTCATATTTAAATTTACTGCCACAGCATTAACCAAGCAGTAGCAAACACCTGTATAAGCCCTGCCTTTGTTTTACTCTGTATTTAACTGATATTGACAGAAATAAATAATTCCCCTTGCCTTTTTCAACGCATCCCCATAAATCCTGCTTCTAGAAGCACTGTCGCACTCCCCCTCCTTCTTCCCAAAATATGTGGCAAATACACTGGGAAAGAGAATGCACTCCATGTCAGAGAAGTTATGATGGTTGTCTTGTTCTATTGTCATTTATAGTCCTAATAGTTTCAAAATATCTTATTTTTCCTTTACCTTTAAAAGAAAAGCAATACCTGCTGAGGGACTGTAAGGCAGTTTTACTACTCTGGTACACAGTTCACATATGTTTTCTTCTACACAAAAGCGATTGAAGAGCTCAATTGTTTACTACTACATACCAAGACTCATGACCAAAAAGACAAATAAAGACACTCCTTGACACCTCAAAACTCAGCAATATCAAACTCTAAAGCAAAACAGCATTTATATGCATCACAATCTCATTGCTTGTGATCTCAGAAGAAACTACCTCATGGTCTGCATGGCTCTGGGAATCCCCTTTGTTAATGCTTGCATCTCGGGCCCACCGTGGAGGTTTCCAGGTTCGTTCCTGTGATCCTCTGTTGTAGTAATAACAGCGTCCTGTTGTATCTTTATGGGTTTCCCATTCCCCATTTATTTGGACCGGAGCACTTGTAGGTAGTGGTGGAAGTGCAGACTGAGATATTTTCAGTTCTTGTAAATTAGCATAAACTGGTGAATCAGGCCTCCCTTGGCTTGGTGGAGTAGTTGGCTATCAAGAGAAGAAATGTATTGTTAAAGAGCAAATGAATTTTAGAATGCCCCCTTTCAAATCAGAACGTATTACAGTAGTAAAACAAACCAACAAACTCCTTTTTTTGTTGTTAAGTACAAAAGCACAAAGGACAGCCACAAGATGCTGGGGCATGAAAACATTAGATTGTTAACTATAAGGTAGATATCATAAGCTGTATTTATTTAATACTGAAACAATTTTTCAGCATTTCTCCAGATGACAGCTGATAATTACATCTTGCAGTGGATTTAAAATATACTGGAATAATCATCAAAATAATTATATGCCTGCCTTGTTAAAAAACTTCAGCTTTACAGTTCAAGGATTGCTCAGAAAATGTAAGTAATGTCATCTTGTTCAAGTCAAAAATGTAGCATTTCTGAGATGCCACTTGTTAGGCAAAGATGGCTCCCCAACTGCTAATACAGAAGATGGTGAATGTAAAGCAGCACTTTTATCTTCTCGGCAAGATCTACAAGACAGTTCAGTTGCAAAGACGAGCACAATGTTGTGACTAAAACTCTGGAAAACACCTGGATGGTTTACCTGTATGCCTTTCCAAACAGATGCTTATTTAAAAATATTTTAGGCAGTATCGCCAAGTGTTCTGATTGTCACTCTCCTCTTACAGAAATTAAGTGGACATTCTTACCCACCTAATTTTAATCATATACATGCACACAAGTAGAATGAATATCTACAAGGAAACAAAACACTAATGACAATTTCTCATTAACAGTTTGCTAACATGCAGGCCAGCAGGAAGTCCATGGCACTTACTGAAACCATAAGCACTTTGAAATAAGCCATTGAACCATTTAGGAGAGAAATACACCTTCAGATGTTCAATTTTTGAAGTAAAACACACCATAGAGAATATAAGAGCATGTGTTTTCACGAGAGCTGTGATTATGAGGTTGTGAAAGCAGCTTGTTATTAAACTAAATTGAATAGTTTCCTGGTAATGCACTGCCATCTCTGTATTTTAGGGCATATTATTTAGCCACTCTAAAGGAAGGAACTATGTAATTTATACCAACCCTTCCCCCTGCTTGGTGTTAATTCAGAAGCTTTGCTGCAGGCGAGTCCTTCTGACTCTCATTGATATCTTTCACAGGAAAAAAAAAATAATATATTGCATTACATAAAAGATCTTTTATAATGTACTTTTAAACATTAAAATCATAAGCTGCTAATCTAGGCCACATCTAATCATAAATTATCGGGGTCTGCTCAGGCAAGACAGCATATCATACCACACAATCAGATATAAACTGATTGCACTATAGCTAGTGCCAAATATGGGCAATATCCGCAATCAAAAGGAGAAACAGCTAAAGAGGAACTTAATGAGATTAAAACAGGCATGGACTTGTTTAGTGAGCTGTTACAAGAGAAAACACAGCTTACTAGATATAGCCAGTACAGTATGTTTACAGAAAACCACAAGGCGGGGGGGGGGGAGGAAAAAGAAAAATTGCAACACTGGCAAAATCAGAGCACCAAAAGCAATTACTATCTCCCTCTACCTAATTCAAAGGGAAAAAAAAAAAAAATCTGTTACAAACCTGAGGAACACTAAAAGACTACTTTTCTACTACCCAAGTCTGTCTGCCCCTTCCCTCCCTGCCCTCTTTTTTTTTTTTCTTTGAGGAGGGCAGAATGGCTGCCTTCAGTGGAGTTGCTCTTGAGAGCACTAATAGAATAAAGAACACTCCTATGAACGAAGCATCACCCCACCATCTTAAGGGATGAACCTCAATTCCCCGGGATGCTGGGAGAGTAACCCTGAGGTCTCCTCATTCAAGAGCACAGTTTCTGCATTCATTTCCCAATTGGCCTGTAGAGCTGCATTTCCCACATAAATCGTCCTGCCATTAAACCACGAGTCTTGTCATTTGAAGCAACAACATACACCTGCACTGGGGAATGCACAAACCTTCAGGTTCTTCCTTTATTTCAAGGAAGTGGCAAAAGCAGCACCATCAAGCACCCTGGCTGCTGCGGCAGGAGGCCAGTGGCTTGCACAACCCTTGCATCCTCCTAAAATTGCTCTATCGCACAAGACACTAAGAAGGCTTTGCTGTCTGGCCTGCATTTGCTAGTTGCTTTTTTGTTTTAATTAAGGTAATGATGTACCATTATTAAAAGAACAGTTCTGTGTATTACTAAAAGTGTTTTCGAAATAGAAAGCCTATGACATAGAATGCTTGATAGTTTTAGAACATTTTCTCAAGAAATGCTTCAGAATAGGGCTCAGAGGTTTCACACTGAGGTTTTCAATGGTTTCAGCATTATAACCAGAACAACTCCAGATGAAACACCAGGACACGCATGTGCTAAGCCAATACTGGAAGCTCACAGCCAACATACTGCCACAGAACTCAGGCAGCATGCTAGTTAAGTTTAAAACAGTAACATGATATGAAAGCATGAGAGGTTTTCTCCTGAATGCTTAGTACTTCCAAACTCAATATACTGATTTCTAGTTTTCAAGGAAAAGCCAGAACTTTTGTCCTGAACAACGAACAAGACAGCTAACTGTCCTGTCAATGAAGCCTCCAACTACTTTCATTCCCTGTTGCTCTCTGAGAATTTTTGAGAATTGCAAGATTTTTGAAAGGCACCTGTAAGTTACTGCTTTCAGCAAAGCATAAAAAAACCTGCAAGGCCATCAATTTAACTACAACACACAGCTTAGCCCATAAGTATGTCTTTGAGGGATATAACCTTCTTATCAGAAACTATTTTAAATAACCACGTAGCATACAATAATACTTCCTCATACCTCAAGCCACGCAACGAGGTATGTTGTGTCTACAATATTGCTCAGTTCAACAGCCAACATTATCAAGGCTACTTTTGTGCAGAATTTCTCACTCATCGATGGAAAAAAAACCCAGCTTTTAGAAATCTCAAAGTTTCTTGAAATTCACTTTAGCGTACTTTCTACATCAGTGTTGGCAGGAAGGTCAATCCTCTTCCATCGCCAACTTGGGAAGGAGAGTGCTGCAGAGGCAGGTCCCACTAGATGTCCCTGTGGAGCTCCCGGGCCCTGCACCACCTTGCCGTTTCATTTCAGACGACTGGTTTAAGTTTAAGACTGTGTTCTGCAAAAACCTTTAATAGTTTCAAGCCAAAAAAGTGTATTAATTTAACTGTATTCCTTTCAAAAGCAAATTTACCAAACCCATTACTCATTACCAATGTATAAATTCAAATAGACAAAGCATTACCCAGACCAAAATAGTTTGAGCACTTCCATGGCTGTCTTCCCAAAAGCAGGCAAACACAGTTAAGGAAAACTTAAATATATGGCAAACACTAAACAGCTCTGTATGTATATGAGGACTTCCAGCTAGAACTTCATTCCCTGAGCTTCATTTTTGCACTAACAAGCTCTGAATGCTCATAAGCATGGAATTAAACCTACGAACAGAGACTCCTTGTCTTCTCACTATCAGAATCACAAGAACACGTCCTTCAACATGCCCATGCATGCAAACACAAGACATCTTATACTCAAAACATTTCAACATTCATTTGCTATTTGATACAGATTTCAGACTTTTTCATGTTGCTTTCTCCTGCTAAGAGCAGTGAAGGACTCTTGCTATAAAAGTGATTAATAAAAATTAGAAAGCAGAATTACTTCTATGATGCTACTTCAATGAAAATTGTACAGGCCATAAAGCACTATGACAACTTCACAAATATAAAGACCTCTCCCTGAGCTCAATAAAGCTCTGTATTTTAATACTTCTGAAATCTGCCGTATTTAAGTTCAGTCTCACAGAAAAGTCTGCTAGCACTAAACCCTTGCAAACTGATAAGGAAGAGAGTTTCATGCAAGCAGGACAAAGTTTCCAGGATCAACACGCAACATTCTTCAAACAGGGCCTGTATACAGCTTTTTCAGAACATAGCTTTTATACTGACACAGTAGGAAGCAGATACGTGCCCTTAAATAAAACCACCTGTTAATCATTCATGAATGAATAGTCAACATTTCCAACAAAGGCCGCAGATACACTATCAGGCCTCTGAACACTTGAACTCAGCGCAATGAAAAGCAAACTTACTATACTTCACAAGGTACTTTTCATTACCAAAACACATATCAGCTTCTCAGAGGATACCTTAAATTTTAATGTTACCATATACAAACGGCTTTTTTCAGATGGCAGTATTTGTTTAAGCATTCAAAAGTAAAGCAAACAAAAAAGAAAAGAAAAGAAAAAAAGGCTCTGTCCACTCCAACAGGGCAAGACAGCAGTTCCAGCAGAAACAAAGACTACAGATCTCTTCCTTATCTCCACCTAAAAATGCTTCTGGTTTATTTTCATGCAATAAGAGCACATTACATCGAGGATGTCAGCAATTAAAAGACAGAAAACAAAGTTTCCTTTGAACTGGCAATTACCTTTTTACAGCACTTAAATCCAATACAAAAACTTCCAGAACATAACTACTGCTTAAGGAATGACGGCAATGCTAGCTTGCAAAACATGACCTACCACGCGTCACTTTCCCTCTTTTACAAATACGTTGCCTTAGTAATTGCTTCTGTTTGCAGCTTTTCCTAGTGTTATGAACTTGAAATTAAAAGCTTCCATTTCAGTAGCAGCATTGATTGCTGAAACTAGCTGCTAAAAAATTAAAAAAAAAAAATTGAAAAAAGGCAAATCTCATCTTAATACTCTTTATGAAGGTACAAGCAACAGATTGTCCACACTCATGCAAAACAACAGCATTACACTGAAGGAAAACGAGGGAATACCATTGCAGCAGCAAGACAGAGAAAGGAGAACAGGCACATCCCACAGCATCCCCAGACAAGGAACGAAGCATCCCAGTTCCCTCAACAACCGAGCTTCTTGCCAAGGAATTGCCACTGCCCTTTCAGGAAGGCCTGGGACTTCAATACCAGCTTTATTCAACAGGAATGATATAAAAGCAATCTCAAAAACTCTACA